TTTAAATTATAAAATTATTTTAAAAATTATTTTAAACATCAAAATAATTTAAAAATATATTGTAAATATATTATAAATATATTAAATATATTATAAATAAAAAACTAACCAATATTAATTGCGTTTTTCTAATTGCAGTGCTCGAGGTTATAACCGAACAAAGAGGTGGTGACTTGGAGAATCTATACAAAATTTGTCATGATGAATGCGAAAAATTCAAATTACATAGTATACAAAATAAAAACAGTAAATGTCTCGATTATTTTTTCAATCCATAACAATTTATTAATAATCACTTTAGTGATTTATACTAATTTATTAATATTTTTATCATGCTTCACAATAATTAAATAAAAAACAATTTTATGTATTGTATAACATTCTTTACAGAAATTAAAATTCTTCGAAATATTGAATGAGCTAGACAAAGTACTGTCTTTGTATAACATGAAATTAATATTATTCAATAAAAACTAAACTGTTAAAATAACCCTTAATAACTTTTATAATAACTACCCCGTCAGAATTAATAATGGAATCGATGTCGATGCGATGTCGATTCCATTATCATTTCTAACTGGGTAATTGACATTTTTATAGAATTGAATTCATCAATTGATCTGAAGCAAAAATGTGAAACAAATAATACAAGTACACTAATAAACAACATAATACAAGAAAAGTCGACATGGCAACAGCAAAAAATTTTATTTTTACGAGCTCTAATCTACATAAAGCGAGATACAGTGAGTAGAAACTTTCAAAAATAATATTTAAAGTAATCTTTTAATTTGATTGAAAAATTAAAATGCTGTTGTTTTTTAATTAATTTTTCAGGTCTTAACAAAAATAAGATTTGTGACGCACATCGGTGTCGCGCTGCTATTAGGAACAGTTTTCTATAATTTTGGTGACGATGCAGAAAAAGTGAACAGTAATATCGCTTGCTTGTTTTTCTATCTGTTATTTTTATTCTTTGTGAATGCCGAACGGACAATACAAACGTGTAAGTGATATGGTTTCTTCTTTTTTTATTTATAAACGTAATGTATTAATTATGTGATTTTATTGTCAAATAAATAAATTGTATTATAAATTATATATTACTATAATTTTTAGAGAAATTTAAAAAACTCTCTGTATTCAACTCTCAATATTCTCGACGAGCAATATTATCGCGTTTAAGATTATAATAAATGCGATTTATGAATTTTATAAATTGTGTCGTGATAAAAATGCATTTGATTGTAGTTCCCATAGAAGCGGCAGTATTTTTAAAGGAACATTTAAATAATTGGTATTCTTTGAGATCCTATTATAGCGTAAAAATAATAACGGATTTCGTGATGCAAGTATGTTCAATGCAATATTATAGCTTTGTTACTAACTATATCAAGTTAAGCTAATATAATTGTCGTTTTTAAATAAAAATAAAGACTCGTCTATTTTGTAGATACTTTGTACATCAGCCTTCGTATTTATATCATATTATATGACAGGACAGCCAATGGAATATGATAGAATTCTAAAGACGTGGATCATTTGTCTGTTAATTACGATGCTTGGACAAACGGTCGGGATAATTGCAGGCACAGCGTTTGGTACTGAGGTATTTCAGCGGCGTATCTTTTATTATTTTAAATAGAAATTGACTGAGAAATAATTCAGTTCAATAAATAAGTGAAGAAAGTCCATATCAACGCGGGTTTTGATGCCTAATATTATTTTTATGTGAACTTAATTTAACTTGTGATATACGCACTCCAACTTCAGTTTATGGCTGTGTTTCAAGACCAACAAATAATCGCACAGTTTGCTTGAACTGGAAATTATGAAATTTGCACTAAAATATTATTATATAAACACTAAAATCCTCTTTGATTAAATATGTGGCCTCTTTCCTTTATTTGTATTAGACTATTTTAATTAATATTAAAAATGCTAACAAGAAAAAAGCTATAATAGTTTTAACATATTACAACATATCATATAGGAAAGATGACTATAATTATATTATTTATAAAAGTCATTTATAATGGTAAATTTTCCAATTCTTTGATCTCAGTTTACGCTTCAAATTTCAATTCAATTCTTTCTTACAGTTAATATGAAAACATAGATGACTAAATTAAACGTAATTTCTTTCAGTTAGGTATGTTTTTATTATCGGCAACTCATATACCATTATTGCTCTTCGCTGGATTTTTTACGAAAATAGGAGAAATGTCGCCGTACCTGCAGTTTTTAAGTGTTATAAGCTATTTCAGGTATAATTTTATAACACTGCGATTATTAATTAAAAAATTGTAGCATTTAATTTTATTATTACTTAGATATAATGTTTTTCATCTTAATCGTCTTTCTTTTTTGAACGGTTATTTATCAAAAGTTGTCTCTACAAAAACATACTTTTGTTGTACATCTATATACTTTATTTTTTTAATTAAAAAAATTTACATTTTATTGCAGATATGCATTTGAAGGGATAATACAGGCGGTTTATGTTGATCGACCGAATCTGAAGTGCTTGGAAATTTATTGTCACTTACGTTCACCAAGCAAGATTCTTTCAATGGCGGACATGCCAACAGTACCATTTTATGCAGTTCCAATAATACTTAGCTCTTGGATACTCTGTTTACACGCGGTCCACTATGCAATACTTCATTGGAAAATTTATTATGCAAAAAAATAACGAGTAAAATTAATATTCACCTCAAACTATAATACATATATTCTCAAACAATGTTCTCAAGATACCTCAAATAAAAAATTACTCATTGAGCAAATTCTATCTGCAATTAATATATGCAGAATCTCAAGAGAACTAATGGGATTAAGAATATAAACAGTTTTGTAAATTGTTTATATCTAACACTCAATAATAACAAAAATAAAATGTGTGAATTTTACAATTTCTAGTTTGAGCAAACTACGCGTTGGTAACTGATTATGATGACAGTAAGAATTTGCGTTTTTTAAAAATAAGTGGAAGTGTTGTGTGTTTAAGGTCCGATTGCACCAACATTACTTTGACTTTAAGCAAGGCTTAAAACTCTTTCCTTCTTTCTTTAAAGCTGAGATGAAGGAAAAGATACAGTTTAAAATATCATTTAAAGTCAAAGCAAGTTGGAGCGATCGCTTTTGGGAAGATACTATTAGTGCCATTCTATCCTTATTTTATGTCTATGAATGATAAAGATAGAATAACACAAATAGCGCTAATAGTACGTCTCTCCAAACTCACGCATAGTAAGAGTAGAAGCACTGCGCATATTTTTAATGTTTTAAGTTAGCAATAAATTAAAAAGACAAGATGCTAAGTTAACTGTACATAAACCAGATTGATAGAAGGATGTAGAAATGAAGAAAGTGCGGAAGAAGTAAAGTATATATAAAGTATAGAAAGATAAAATAGATATTAAAGGAGATGGGCGGTAGAAATTTAAATCGCGAAAATGGCGGGGAGATATACATAAGACGAGTAAAAAAATTAATTGTAATAAAAAAAGATAGAAATAAGAAAGCTATTTGTAAAAAAAAAATTAAAAAAAAAGAATAGGAAGGAGAAGAATAAGGCAACAAGGCCGAATGTTGAAGTATTAAAGAATGCGAAATTTAAAATCGCAAGAAATAGAAGTACACAGGTAATAGACGGTAAAAAAATAACTTAAGAGAAAGAAATATAAAGAGAGTAGAAATGAGATATAATAGATTAATAGGTATAAATGAAAATAAGAAGTGATAGATAGAAATTAAGGGAAAAGGATTAAGATTTTTAAGGAAAGAAAATTTGGAATAAAAAGAAGTGATGGAGAGATAACTAGAGGTATATTGTAAATAAAGATAGAAATAAACGATTACGAGAAAACATTGTATATGTACGTCGAAATTGATGCGTTAGGGATTATATTTAAAAAATAGCCAACATAAAAAATAGATGGATAAATGTATGAGGATAAGGTAAAAAAAATGTGAATTAAGTTCTCTTCTTGGCTTATAATATTAAAGATAATTAAGATTCTATTTTGCATATATTAATAATATAAATTAAATGTAAGATATCCTAAAATATCTGAAAATACAAATGAATAATCAATGTGTTAACTTAGCAAAGTTGAGAATGTTGAATAATTCAGAATTTCTATTTAATTTATCTTCGTACATGACATAGAGGCTTCGTTCCATAATTCTCTGCAAAAGTCTATAGTTCCTGTTATGTATACTATAGATTTTCAGGATTCATAATGAATAACGGAACTAGAAAATACAAATTACTTTTTAGACAGTTAAGAATAAACAAATTAATTATAAATTAATTTTCTGTATCTCAAATTTAGTCGAAAATCACCTAAGCGGAAAAAACTATATTTATTTTCCTTATTTATTCTCCTTTCCCTGAAATAAATTTATACATTCTGCTTTTAGTTTGTGATGATACAAACTTCCTGCTTTCCTTTCAAACTACAGAAATCAAAGTCTTAAACGGTCTAACTGGATTTTAATACTTGTATGATTCTTATGTGAATTTATATACTAAGTATGTAGTCCCTAGAAACGCGCGCCGAAATGATTTTTCGGTCTTGAAACGGTAACTCTACTAAACTATCGCAGTAATATCACGAGTTAAATTGCTAGTAAATTATGTTAAACAATCGATGACCCATGGTACTTCGTGATCTATAATGCCCCGGTTTGGAAACCGATATTTTTTCTTTTCTCTATATAACTTCTTAATAAATGATACAACGCAGTTTACAAATATAGTATATAATTATACTTAGAGATATAAAGATTATACGCAAACCAAAGTGTACCCTCTTGTTAATATGACAAGTTATGTTTTAAAAAGAGAAGAAACACCAACTTGCGTTGTATAAGTTTATACATTTAAAAGAGGATTTCAAAATAACTAAAACAATTTTATAGACTCAATTTATACATTATTCTATATTCTTCATGTATTTATTCATATTATATTTATATATATGTGCGTATGCCATTAATACAGAGTACGTTAGTGCAGTTTTAGTGATTCTGACTACGTCGAAGATTGATTGTTTTCCGTCTGGTCTGCCATCATGTTAAACTGGTTGTCATTAACATACTGTTCTTCTGGATATTGTGAAGGATCGTATTCGTATTGATTTTGATCATGCTCCATCATGTAAGTTTCCATATTTGAATCATTCACTGGATACTCTTCGTTATTTTGTGCGTTTCCTTGCTGCTGATACATCTCTGCGGTTTCCATATTCGATGCAAAGTTGCCTTGCATCTGATCATTTCTCTTCGGCGCGTCAGAATATATTTCTGATTCCTCGCCCACTACTTTTTGACCGCTCGCGGTGTCATATCCTTGATGCATCATTTGCGCTTGAGCACCCGATCCATTTGTATGTGGCGAGACTAGTGAATCCATCGTAGCGTTATAATGAAAAGCTCCAGTACCATCGTTAGTTTCCATAGTAATTTCTCCTGGAAAGTAATCCTTGTCACTCAACATTCGGTGTATGTGCGTTTGAATTACATATTTACCATACGTAAGAATTAAATAAAAATTAATACCTGCGTGACTTACAAGGCTGCCTTGTATTTTACTTGACAAGTTTTCTATGTTGCTTTGTAAGTCGGCCATTTCTTCCCTGTGATAAATGAGTAAATGGTTTAACAGACATGGGATTAAAAGTTAAGTTTGACTATTAGCGGAAAAAATCAGTGTCACATCGAGCATAATAATATAATTGTTATTTGCATTAGGACACTCTCGCTATTACTGTGCTGATAGAGATGTTTTGGAGGTGTCGGACTTCTTTTTTGGAATTACTTTTACTTTTAGATCAACCTTAACGGTACGTTTCTTGCTCGAAGGCGAAGCAGTTTGCCCAACCGTTGTCACATCTCTCTCAACGACCCCCTCTGTCAACACAGAATAGCCCTAGATATATATAATGAGAAGTGGTGCATTCTTATCTATACTAATATTGACATCGTAATAAATGCGCGTTCAATAACGGGTGTTAATTTACTCTAATAAATTAAGCTGCGCTTCTTCAGATATATGACTATCGAGAAACAACTAAACTAAGAAAACGTCTGATAGCCTGAAGCTACGTGCGTTGTATTTTTTCATTCGATTTCCGCAAGTCGGACTAAGAATATACTTGTGTTTAAGATTGTTAGCTTCCAAACGCTGTGTGAGAGATTGGCATTCAGTGGTCAATCTCGAGACGAGCTTGGCCTGATTACTCAGAGCGTCTTCTAGGCCCGCCACCGTGGCAGCTGCGAAATTTGGTTGCCTTGGTCAGCCTGTTAGCTATGTTAATTGACTTAAATCTCAATCTCCGCCTATGCTAGGCATATATAATGTCAGGCATGCCGATTTCTCACACATATAAAGACAGTACTCTTAAGTCAAAATCATTGTCAACAAATAACACTTTTTACGGACAATATACCTAACATAGGCATACCTAGGACGATATCTTACCATGTTTAGTCTCCATATTCATTATCATGGACGTTAATTCCTTCTCGTTTTCCAATCTAGGCGTAACTTCGCTACGATTCTCTTCAGATCGTACAATTTTACTCATACTAATCTGAAAAGATATAAAAAACTTTATTTTATAACACTGCATTTTGCTGAAATTTCAATAATTATTTAATTTGTTAATTATCCAAAAGTTTCCGCGATTTAAATCTTCCGTATACTGAAGTTAATTCAATATTGTATCGTTGAATATCATAAATCTGCAGTGTTATGTTGTGAAAAAGTCTGTCATGTATTAGCTTAAAGTATCACATCATTATTCAGAAACTTTTTTGTCTATAATTTGGCAATTTTGAGACAAAAATGATGTTGAAAAAAAAATGTAAATGTGCCAAATTTTATTTCTTTTTTAATAAATCTACTCAAACGGCTGAGACTGTCATAATGCTTAAAGAAATTTTTGAAGATAATTCTATAAAAAAAAATTACAAAAAGTCCATATAAAATAAAAATAAAAAGTAGTTATAAAAATAAATATAAAATTTTTATTTTTTTAACTAAATTACGTAAAACTTCCGAAAACTTTGATCATCGTATGCTAATAATACACGTGATATAATTAAGTATTGATCAGTTAAAATCATGTTCAAGATATTTACCTCCTTTTCCAAAGATGCAATTTGTTCCGACAGTCGTAGATTTTCTCGTCTACAATGTACCAAATCAGCATCCGCTCTTTCCAGACGCTGCTTGTACGAATTTATTTCTGCCTGCAATCTGCTCTGCTCTTGACGAGCCTGCCTATCGTTTCGTTCAGCCGCTAGTTTACCGGTCAAGACCTCTTGTTCCGCCGCATCTTTTTCGCTTAACGCTTGGTTCAAATCACTCTGCAAAGTTGCTAAACACGAGAATATTTTTTGTTTGTAATTTTGCGCAAATAATTAAATCTTTTTAAAGTTTTTAATATTTACCTATATATAAATTTATTTGAGCAATATAAACTTACATAAACGTAATAATAAGCGCAAGAGATTAAATCTAATGATATAATGTGCCAATATGAGCCAACACAAGATATTAAGTGTGTGATATAATCAAAACTTTATTAAACAATTACGTTTCGAATTTTCTTCAGTCAATGTCGTAAAAACAATTAATTTTAAGTAAGACTGTATCCAATCTTAACGAAAAATTGTTCATCAAATTGAGATTTGCTATAGAATACAAAAAAATATTTTATTATCTTAACAGAGAGTTATGTCTTAAGATAACTTAAGTCACTCACATGTATAAACGTTGAATCGGAAAAGCATGGTATTACTACCGTCTACTCCGTTATTGAATAAAAAATTGTTTACTGTATGTGAACAAAATTAGTTAAATATTAATTACTCTATATAGTCACTATTAAAGTTATTAAAAAAAATTATTTAAAAAATTAAAACTTACATAGCAAGTGATAGAAACAATGTTAACAGTTTAAACGCTCGACGGATAATGAAACGTTAAAACAGATAAAGTTAAAAAAAGTTAAAAAAGACATAGTGCTTTCTCCTTCTTATTACATAAAAATTTAACTTTAATTTTATTATCATCGATCGTTTCATTACGATTGCATATTTGTTTTTCAAATGTGACTTTATATATATATATATATATATATATATATATATATATATATATCTATTTTGACGTCTCATTATTCGTCGAGCGTGTGAACTGTTAACATATCGTTTTCATACTTGCTATGTAAGTTTTAATTCTTCTTAATAATTTTTCTTAATATTATAACTTCAATAGTGACTAGTAATTAATATTTAACTAATTTTGTTCATATACAAAAATTTTTTATTCAATAATGGAGGAGATAATACCGTGTTTTTCCAATTTAACGTTACATATAAGAGTGACATTAAGTTACTTTAAGACATGACTTTCTGTCAAGATAATAAAATATTTCATTTGTATTCTATAGCAAATCTGTTAATTTGATGTACAACTTTCCGTTAAGATTGGACACAGTCGTCATAATGCGATCTTATTTATAATTAATTGTTTTGGCGACATTAATTTATGTACTGAAGAGGATCCGAAACGAGGATTGAAACGTAATTGTTTAATAAAGTTTTGATTATATCACACATTAATACCTTGTATTGGCTCATATTGACATTATACATATCAATAAACTTACATATTTTATTTTGCAGCTCTTTCTTCAGATTATCCATAGCGTTTTGTTTCTGAGATAATTCTCTTCTCAGTTCGTTTATCTCTCGCCGCTGTTTCTCAGACTCTAATTGCGATTTGTTGGTGGTCTCCCAATGGGTTGCAATATCGGCGGTAAGTTGCTCGATTTGCTGATTGTATCGACGTTCCACTTGTTGCCTCTCCTCAGTTATACGTCTATTTGCGTCTTGGGCTGCCTCCCGTAGCTTTTCATGCTGCCTCTCCAGCTCATCTTTTAATCTTCGAATCTCCATCTCGCTCTGATTCCTCTCAAACTCGATCTCATGCCTATCATCCATAGACCGTTTCGCTCTATGTGTCGCTTCGGTCTCTTTATCCCGCGCGACCGACAGCAGCTTCTGCAATTCCTCTAACTTTATTTCAGCCTCGTACTTGGCGCGTAGAGCTTTGTCCAGTTCGGCCTTTAATTCAGCATTGTTCTCGCTTGAACCACTCTCGAACAAACGCTTCAAATTCGCCTGATTCTCCTCCTGCGCCTTTCGTAACTCCAATTTGGCTTGGGTTAATTGCGCCTCCAGCTCACTAATTCTCGACTCAAATATTATACTGGGTCCTTCTAAGGATTTCTCGCGTTTGCATTCTAACGTGTTATCAACATGACCGCTCGTTTCTTGCTTGTGACACTCGTGGTTCGCTCCACAGTGATCTTTATGATCCTGTAGAACGCACTTGGATAATGCAACTTGATTCCTGCTATGCAATGCTTCATTTTCAGCTACGACCTACGAAAAGCCGTGGTAATTGAAACGATAAAAAATTTCATTACATCCCATTTTGTTCATCATTATTTTAATAGCTAAATATTCTAATATTGATTTAAAAAAAAATATACCTCACGAACTTTACTCAACAGATTGATCAATTCATCTCTACAATATTGAGACTCTCGTTCCAATTGTTCGATATAATCCTCCTGTCTTTCGATGAAAGATGTTAACTCCGGAGGAATAGATTGAAGATCGGCTCTCGACAATGCTATATTACTGTATGCCTTTGACGATTGAAGAGTTTTCGACAGAGGAAAGGTATTTAAAATTGCGTTTTTGGAGAGATCCTTCCTTCGAAAATTATCGCTAATCATACTTTGATCATCTGTATCTTCTCCAGATTCACTAATTCGGGGATTACTGCTTTTGTATATGTTCCGAACACTTCGTTGCTTTCTATAAGGAAATTGTTTTCATCTTATATTTTATCATATCCTAGTAAATATCAACTAATAGTAACATCAATGTTGTCTTTTACAAATGTAACTATTACGTAATATGCGTTATATTATATTTATATAATGGTAAGTGAAATTATAACATTGATGTCCTATGATGTTTATATATATATATATATATATAAGATGAAATACGCGGAAAATAATTAAAAGTATAAGATTTATGGAATAATTCAAGAGAGAGATAGGGAGTAAAAGGAAAACAGGGGGAGAAAATAATATTTTAAAAAGAGCCTATTAAATAACATAATACAGAAGAGATATATGATTATATAGTCGACACAAAATTAAATTTTAACAGATCTTTTAAAATAAAAGTTTATTTAAATATTCATACAAAATTTTTTCCCGCAATTCTATCCCGCAATCTATTTTCCGAATTTTATTTATTGTAAAATGTATATGCACACTGGCGGAAAAAATTTACGAAAAACTGCATAGATTGAGACAAGATTTTCGAAATTATTAGTTTTTCATATATATTCGTAGTGCGACGTAGAGTTGTTTTTTTGAAAAATCTAGAAATCCACCCTTAAACCTCTACGTTCCACTAAGGATATTTACGAAAAACTAAGAATTTCTAACTCTGTTTCTGTTGCTTTATATGGATCGCTTCCGAAATCAATCTTTTATTAAGTACTTTTTCTTCGTCTAAAATCTTGACATTTTCCCAATCAAAATCATGCTGATTCTATGTTCTGTTATTACAGAATGCTGTGTAGTGTTCTAATTTATGTGATTTTTGTATTCATTAATGCGTGTCTTCAAACATCTACCTGTTCGGCCCACATATGATGCTTCACAATCTCGACAATCAATCTTATATACAACGTCTGTATGCGATAGCTTTGGACGAACGTCTTTATGACTCCTGATGAAACCCCTAAGATTATTAATCCCTTTATATGCTATGTGTATTAAGGAATCTTTTTTAAAAAATTTCCTGATCTTTTCCGATAAAAGTGGAATAAAGGGGATTGTGAAAAACTTATTAATTTTTTCTTCATTATTGTCTCTTGACTTATCCGTAGGTGTGTTATCTTGGTCATTCCATTGCTTAAATTTTTTTGACAACCTATTTTTTATTTTAGAAAAAAAGAGTTTCAGTGAATATCCATTGTTTAAAAGAATTTTTATTATTAATTCAAAATTCTCCCCTAATACATAGGGGATAAAGATAGAACTCTATCAATTAAGTCAATAATTGTTCCCACTTTTTGACATAAAGCATGTCTAGAAAAATAATTAAGATAGCGACCAGATAAAGTAGGTTTGTGATACCAATTTTGCACAAGAGAATTTCCTTTTTTAATTAAATTAACATCAAGAAAATCTAACCTATGCCCACCTATTTCAGTTGTAACTTAATTATGTAATTTCGATTTATATTTTATATTGATAAGAATCTGAATTGAAGAGTTGAAACGTATATTTTATTTTTTTTTTGTTACATTCACACGAAAAATAAAGAATTTTTGTGCATCCGAATAGCTGATGTAGGCTCTGATGGGCTTTTTTTACATTTTTCACTGATTAATCTGTAGTTTTTCTGTACCTTTTCGTAAAAATTTTTTTCCGCCAGGGTGGTTTTATCCCTTTTCAAATTTTATTTGCCATATTAATAATTTAATCATTTATAAATTTTATTTGTTTGTCAACTCACATTGCGGACATTCCCGTTGGAGCGTACGACTCAGCTAACAAATACTTTAGTTTCGAAATAGCGTCCCTATATGCCAGCTCCATATAATCCGCCGGTTTCCTTTTGCTTAGATCTAACTTTGAAGAGGCATTTGTTTTCCTATAAAATAATTGTTTCTTTCGCACAATTAACCAAATATTTCAAAATATTGCGGTAGATTAGCATCAATTGTCTGCATTAAACTCAGTTAACTGTTAGCAGAATTTATCGATTCTCGCTATTAGTCGATAAAAACGAAAAGAATTTATGATTCATAAGCATTTAAATGGAATACATCATTTAAATTTTAAATAAATATAAAATAGCACATTTAATAAGTATTCTGTCATTATATTCTCTTAACAGATTCTATTATATTTCTATCATTGTTTGTTAACATCGGTTGTCTAAATTTGTAGCAAACTTTCGTAAAATTTTTTTTGGATAGATTTGATCATCTAACAAGGAGAGGTTACGCTCTGCTCTTCGCCGATTTTTATCAAATTTGCAGCAATATTGGCCTTGGGAGGCAAATATTACTTAACTTACAACTTAATTTAACCTTCGCAATGCCATTCAAACCAATAAAAACCAGTAAATACATCTTATTAAATCCTATCATTTTTGTCTAAGACATTTTTCTAAAAAATGCATATTTTCCGAGATATTAGACTGTTTCCAAATTTTTGATATATTTTTAAATACTCATTAATCGGCTTTTAAGGCCCATTAATGGGAACGGCTTTACAGGTGTTTATTTGGTAGGCTCCTTTAACATCGCTGCAAGTTTGATCAAAATCGGTGAAGAGCAGAGTGTAGTCTCTTCTTGTAAGTACAATATATAACCAACCGAGTAATAAATGTGTGTGTCTAAAATGCAAGTATTATGTGTGTGTTGTACACACGCGACATAATTAACTTTGGAGATTAAGTATTCCAAAAATTAAAGAATTTTTTTATATTATACTTTATAATTTTACTTCCGTGCTAATAATATTTAGTACAATAATATTCATCACTATTACATTACCAGACACGTATATAGGACAATCTTTTTCCTAATAAATAGACAAATTAATAAATATTCCAACTTTACCTGTTCTTCAAGCGCTTCATACGCGCGACGCAAGCCGGATCCGTGTAACTACTTATACCAGGTGATGTTTTCAATTTAGTGGTGATTCTTGGAGAGAATTTTGGACGTGTCGTACTCGGGTTACCGTTGGTCGCAATACTCGTCACACTGCCAGGTACAAAGGGGTGACATTCACGGCAACCATAGGGGCTGTTCGTCGTCAGCATTCTGAGCGCGTTCTACCCTTTATCAAGCAACTCTTCGTTTCACCCTCTCAAGAACGCACGCCGGTCGGCCGTCCAGCCAATCGATGATACATTTCTCCCAGTCGGGAGAAGTCGACGAAGAAAATCGAACGGCACTCCAACATTGTAACTGGAGGAGCCTGGTGGTGGATCGCGTGCGATGGTACCATTCTACCTTTATAGACCCCTTGGCGGGGACAAGTAAGACCGTACCGCCATCGTACCACCACCGACATGTACGCGTTCCGTGACTTATTAACCTGGGGCATACCTCGATGATAAAGCATACCTTCAGTAACGATCAGACGAGGGTAGACAAATACTGACGCTATCGCTTCCAGATATTTTTCCTCCGCTAGAGAATTCCTATGGAAACAGAATGATCAACAAATGCGCAATGACAATGACAATGTTTATGGAAATGAAGCTAAATATATCATAAAATGTTCAATTTGATTCCAAATGTTCTGTATATTAGAATAGTAGAATATTTATAGAATGTTCAAAAGTCAATAAAATATTTAGAATATTATGAATGCGTTTGAGGAGACGCTATTAACGCTATTTATGTCATTCTATCTTCATCGTTCATCAGACGTCGTAAAACAAGGATAGATCGCCACAAATAACATCAATAGCGTCTTGATCCTGAACACACCCTATATGTATTTTCATTACCTGGTAAAAAATTTTTCGTGCATAAATATGTATAAACACTCATATTCATAAACATGTATAATATATATAATTATATATAAAATATGTCTATATATTTGTTCATACATCCTTCTATCTTTTGTAAAATTACTTTTTAATATAATAGAAATAATAATAGTAATGTGAAAACATAAAAATTGAAGGAATAATTTTTGCATTGTTTGTTTCAGAATAAAATAAGTTTGGAAAAATGTAAAAAAAATTGCTCATACATAATTATGCATGAAATTTATGAATATTTATGCGTGTTTATGTATGTTTATACATATTTATACATATTCATGCATGACAATTTTTTTATCGGGTAAGTACAATTTAGAACAGAACAATTTTCATTAATTGAAGAAAGTAATAATTTATAGGAATTCGTATTAAACGGAAGCCGGTTATTGTTTTTTTTTAGTTCTCTTTCTTTAGTCAATTTGAAATTATGAAACAAAATTCATAAAAAAAATAAAATTGAAAAGTTCATAACACTGAAGTTGTAATATAAATTAGTTAGATGAAATTATACTTCTGGTTTATAACTTTTTCTTTGTTCTTTTTTTTATTTAATATTTTTATTTTTTAATTTACAATTTGTTATTTCTATTAGTTCAAATACTTTATTAGAATTAAAGAAAAGTTATGTAAAAAATTATATGCAATTTTAAAAATTATACGAATTATAAATATTTATTACTTGCTATGAAAAACAATTAAAAGATATAGTTTATTTAAAGAGGCTGTTCAAGCCCTTATAAAGCATCTATCTTGGAAAATCGAAAAAGTTGATTTTTTAAAATATATAATTTAAACTTAAAAGTATAAACTGGAATTTAAAAGATATTCCTAAAAATGTAACTCAAATTCAAAAAATTAATACATTACCTTTACGGAAAAGAATCATTGGCTAGGTATTATATACATATAATCTGTGTAATATAAATATTACAATAACTATACATAAAAATATTACTACACACACACACACACACGCGCGCGCGCGCGCACGCACACGCCATGCACACGCACACGCACACGCACACGCA